AATTCGATTCGATCAGTCCACGCTATATTATCTACAGGAAGTAATAAAGATTTAATTGGTATCCTCGAAAAAATGATAAAAGAAAAGCCTGGGATGTGGCATTTAAAGCTAAACGATGGGCATATCGAACTTCACTTCGATCAACAACAGGGATGACGCTATATGCATTAACTTATAGGCGTGACTCGATACTACCAGTCGAGCTAAGCATAAACTCATTACGAGTTATCAAATAAAGTAGTTTGTTTAGTGCCGAGTACAGTCATACCATGAGGCAAGAGTTAAAGGACTTAGAGGAAGCTCAACTTGATGCCTATAATTTACTAGTGGCGTAGAAGAAGATTGCTGAGCGAGCTTATAATCAATGAGTTAGGCAAAAGACGTTCAACGAAGGTAACTTAGTGTGGCAAACCGTGCTACCAATAGGGATTAAAGATCCCAGATTTGGACAATGGTCGTCGAATTGGGAATGACCTTTCATCGTCCATAAAGTTCACGGTAATGGGGCATACCACCTCAGAGATCGAACTGGTTTGGTCCATAAATTACCTATCAATGGAAAATTCATAAAGAAATATTATCCAGTCACTTGGGAAATGCAGGAATAAGGAATTTTTTTATTAATTTTCAAAGTACGTACAAGCAAGATTACAAAAATCAACCAGCTTACAGCTAAAAACAAGAAGTCCTAAGGGGTCGAAGAAAGGAATGCTTCAAGAGTGGCTTTCAGTTCTAACCACCTTACTTCACCCATCGTGACTTCCGCCTACCTTATCCTTTTATCAAGTTGTAATTGTTGTATCCGCTTTATGCCAGCCACGTATTATGCTAGTCGAGGCTTATTCGACTCGAAATCCTTTTTGAGCTCCGAAGCAACGGTCGACCTTTGACATTAGAGTTCAGCAATTTGATAGTCAAGGTCGCCCAATCATTCATTCTTTGCCTTTATTGCCTCGAGCTCCGGTCAGATAGCTTCATGTACGACCATTGTAGCCTTCAGCTCATCCTCTGCCTGGAGAGCCCTCTCAAAAATAGTAAAGTATTGCCGAGTTAGCTATAGGACATCGGATAGGTGAACAACACTCTCGTTGCTCAGTAAGCCGCTGGTTACAAGGTCATTTAGGCATTCCCCTGCGGAGTCGAGGCCTTCACGTTGGAAGATTTACGGGGCCGAAAGGGACAAAAACTTTTGTAGCTTGAATAAGGCATCAGACTCGGTCGCAATTGCAAAAGGCTTGGCCATAGAGGCAGAAGGCCCAGGCATCCCAGAAGTGTTGGAGAGAAGGGCGTCGAGCTCGACTTCCCATGAAGACTATACATATATAAAATTTGTTATAAAAGAGAAATTAAAAGAACGGTAGATAAGGAGGTTGGGTTAGACCTGCCGAGAACAGTATTCAGCCATATCTACTGGTTCATTACTTGAACTCAGAGAGCTTAATGGGCAAGCCCAGTGTTTAAGGCAACCTTTTAATTCATGCGGCCAACGAAGGTTATCTACGTTTGATGACCATTGGTGTGGCCAACAAATATAAATAACGCCTTTCAGCGCATAAAATTTTCGATGAAACGAACGATTTTGCATCTGACATTTAATGTTTTTCTTGGTTTAGAGTTCTTTTAAGGTTTGGAAATTGATATAAAAGAACAAGGACAAGACTTACAAAGGCCGAGGTGACCTCTTGAGGATAGATGCTAAGATTTTGGTCTTGAGGATAAACTGGCATCTCTGGTGTCGTTTCTGGCTTAACTGAAGATGCTACTTCCTGTCTTGGACCCGTTTTCACAGCAGAAGGGTCGGCCTGGTCAGCCGCCTTGACCTTCAGTTGGGGATTGGTAGTTAGAAGTTCAGCTGGTCGAGGGCGCCTCACCAGTCGGGGTACTTTACTCTCGCCTTCCTGGTTATAAGAAGATTGTTCGTTAGTTTGAAGACCCAATTAAAACACATCATTTTTAGGAAAATAAGAAGAGGCGTACCTTTTCTTCCAGGATAATCATTAGATTCTTCTTCGGATTAGGGAGAAGGGTTTTCTTGGTCATGGTAGCCGCCTTCTCCAAGGCAACAACTGCTAGGCTGACTTCAGGAATAATGGTCGGCCCCGGAGTTACAAGACCTTCGACCAATGGGGCAATAACTGGTTATACCACGGCTCGAGTGGTAGGACGAACTTCAGTTGTTTAGTCTAATAGAGGGTTTTGCGGTACTCCTGTAGAGGCTTGGACGACATGAGAAGGGAGATGGACACTAGGAGTAGTTGCTCTTATGGTTTGACTTGAGATGACGTGAATTTCCCGTTCTCCCTTCTTTGCCTTTTTCTTGGTACGCTTTTAGGGTTGGGCAATGTTATCAATCGTCTTGACCTCTGGGCAAGGTCGTTTGCTCGGCACGGTCAGTGCAGCAGAGGTCACCATTGAAGTTAGTTCGGCTGAAGGAGGAGCAATGGTCGCATCCCTCTTTGGGGGAAGAGAGAGTTTCTTTTTGGCCGCGACCATTGCAACCACTTCGGCCCTTTTTATTGAACGAGCATTTGGAAAAACTGAGTTTGAGTTAGAATAAAGTTTGAATTAAGTATATATAACAAAGAGAAGGAAAATGTATATACCTTGTGACATTTCTTTCGATTTTGGGGCGAGAGTTTTCCTCCGCCGATCGCCAAAAAGTCTCTTCTAAACTTCCTCGACCAAGATACTAAAGAAATCCTTGACATATGCATCTCACCAGCCGGCGAAGGTGTTGGTACTGTTGGTCTCTGGGGTATATGGCCGAAGGCAAAATTTGGCGCACTGATCTTGGAACTTTTTCTCGACCTCTTTGCATTCCCTCTCCGAGCAACCGGAGATGCGCTATCGGCTTAGAAGCGAGTGAGAAGTAAGTAGTGGCAAATCATAGCCTTGGAGGTAGCCTAGTTGACGAGCCATGAAGTAAGGATGGTAGACTTCCCAACTGGCCTGTCAAGCATCGCAACCGAAGGGAAGGTCATGAGACAAAACAAACGACCCTCAAGACTATCATGAGGGGGTTTGCTCCTCATGAGGATCGATCAAATCCTTTCATGAGGGGGATTGGTTTAGATAATAGTGGGGTAATCAAAACCTAGTGTAACAATGATTCTTTAAGGCTAAGACCTAGAAGATGAATCTGGTTTGTTAAAGAGCTTGGTTCAAAGTTATATTGGCGTTAAGATTGGTTGATACCTAATCAGATTAGGATGAGGAGTTCTAATCCAAGTAGAATTCTAGCTCGGCTATGAGGGGGTTTGTTACTATAAATAGAGAAGGGAGTGCATCATTCAAGGCCCTTCTAATTCAACATATAAATTGCCCTGCGCAAAGCTTCTCAAAAACCTTTGAGATTTGATCTTTCTCCCCTTTATTCCTGCCAACACATCTTCAGTTTGGATAAACAGCACTGTGAAAGCAACCAACGACATCTTCAGTTTGGATAGACAGCACTGGAGCCATAGAATCAGCCGATCGATGAACACCTTCAGTTTGGATAGACAGCACTACTTCGAGGTCGACTAGTTATTTATCTAAGTCTTGGTTGAGAAAGATTTTCGAATCCTTATTGGCAGAGGTCATCTCATTAGCCTTTTCAGTGAAGTGAGGTGTTACAGATTGCTAGGCTCGGCACATTAATGTCAAGTTGTTTTATGATTGGATACTCGCAAGTAAGTTTTAGAGTTCGGCATTCCGACGGTCGAACCACATTTACCATCAAGACATACATATCTTTCGGGTATTTGTGTCCGTATAGTCTGGTGCTAGTTCGACGTGCTTATACTTTCACGAATATAATCACCGTGACTGAACCTGGCGCCGACGATTTATGAACTTCGCAGAACTAGTAGCCTTGTCTTCATGCTCTAGAACCCAAAGGTCGAGATGTGTTCCTTCATCGACCGCAATCGCAAGACACATAAGTCAGCAGCGCACCTAACGCGACATCAACACATTTTACTCCCCGGTCAAGCTCGGCCGATGAGTTGGTATACCCTACACATAATTGAAGGACGTAGTTAGGTTATTAGTTACTTGGCCTACGCGACACGTAGGCTTGGTAGTTTTTAGGGTCAACAGTATGTCAAAAAGATAATAACTTTAAAAATAAAACCAATTATCTAAAAACACGTGGTGTACCACCCGTGTTCCGGTCTTAATGAAAAATTTCCCTGATTACTGAGTGTAAGTAAGCAGTGTGTTTTCTAACACTAAGATTGCAAACATATCCTTCAAAGGCCACTACAGTACTACACAAATCCCCAATCTTAATTTATTGTAGGACGTTCCCTAATATTAATGTACATCTCCATTGCACCTGAAAAAATATATCTCCTGTATAGTTGTTACAAGGGATTCTCTCTGGATCTCTTCCTCCTAATCCACCAAGTTCGGAGATTTGGACCATTGAAATTTGATAAAGTGAGCCCCTGTTTGTAGTCGTTGGATCAAATTTCAATAACCCGTATCCCAAAACTTGGTGGATTCGAAGGAAGGGATCCAAAAGATCCCTTTCCATGAGAATCGAACCTAAGACCTCTCACTTACAAGTAAAAAGGAAACCACTAGACCGTAGTACTAAATGACAAATGATCCAAAAGTTTGATGTGGGGTTTAAGTGGTGAATATGGGATGTATGCAGTGAAGTGTGAGGTGTGAGGGTAGTATTAGAATGTATTTGAGGAAGGTAGATATAAGGTGTATTAAGTATGTATGTGTATTCAATAATACATGAGGTGTTAATGCAACAACTCTTTTAAAAATACAATTTATTAAATATTCAACTATTTTATTATACATCTGATTATTCTTAAAATACATAAGAAATAATTTATTATTTATTTGAAAAACAATAATCCAAAACTGCCCCTTTTTTTAATTTTTGTTGTCAATTAACCGGTTGCACTTAACAAACCGGTCATGGTATATCCACGGCCCACGGAGCATCCATTTCTAAAAGACGAAATATCCCCCCCTCTCTCTCTCTCTCTCTACTACTTTCTCTCTCTAAATCTCGCACTGCTCGTCCACTCGTCCCCCCACTGAATTGAAACCCAAAACTCTCTCTCTCCTCTCTCTCACTCGCTCCCAAACTCACAAACAAACTCACTACATTATCAAAAGTTTAATCACTCACCCAAATAAACCCCTCAAATTTACCCGCCAAAAAAGCTTTAGTCTTTCTCCCTCACAAAAAATTCGCCTTTTCAAATCCCCAAACCCCCAACGGCTAAGCCTCTCCGGCTCTCTCTGTCCTAGCTAGGGTTTCTCCCTCCTCTTCTGTCTCTCTCTCAGCTCCCCCTTCCTCTACGCGCTGAACGGCGTCGTCTGGGAGCGTCGCTCTGTCAGCCCCTTAGTTATGGATCCGCCTCTGAACGCCGAACTCACTCAGCCGCTTCCGCCGGCGGTCTCAATTGGGGAAAAGAGGCCGATTGGGAACGGAGAAGGAGATTTGGGGACCCAATTGCACAAGAAGCCCAGATTGGGACCCAATTCGGGGAAGGATCTGAGGAGGGTGGCGGAGATTGTGCTGGCCTTGTCGACTATGGCCAAGATTCGAGGGGGCAAGAAGCCCACGGAGCCGGAGATTGGGCTTATGGGGGAAGCTAGGTCGAAGCTGGTGGAGCTGTGTGAAGGGTTGGCCCCTAAGGATATTGTGGGTAGGGATGCAATTGGGGCTGTGATTGAGGATTTGGGGCTCAATGCTATGCTTAAGGAACAGAGATTAGGATTCCGGGGTCCCAAGTTGACGATTGCGGAGAAGTTTTTGCAGACGAAGAGGAAAGTAAGGACTCAATTTTTTGATTTGGTATGGTTTTTGAGTTTTGCGATTGTTGAGTAGGTTTTAGTTTTTAATTGGTCCGATTTGTTGTTTGATTGATGGGAAAGTGTTCGGCAAATGAATAAAGAAAGAAGCTTTGGATTCTGAATTATAAATTATAGGTAAATGGACTGATAGTAAAATAGTTCATATGGTTTGGCGTTTTGATTTTATATGCGTTCAAGGTATATGTGTATGGTTTTGAGACATTAAGGGTGAAAGCATTTTTTGTTATGGTTTCGTAATTGGTCACGGTGGAACTATTTGGCTTAGTTGATGTGAACATCTTGGGCTTGTTGGTTACTTTTACCATTATACTTTATATATGCAGTTCATTGCATAGTGATAGTCTTCGGTTATACTGAAAGGTTTAATTTTTATTCAAAAAAGTATCAGATTTCTGTAAGCGTGTGTGCCAGTGTTTGAATTAGTAGCTAGTTGTGAAGTCTAAAGTCATTAGACCAAGAAGTTGTCTTTGACATTGTATGGCTAATGCCATATTACAGCATATAAGGGTTGCCAAACTTTCAGTTTAGGATTTTTTTGGACTGTAAAACTATTTTTGCTGAACTTGAAATTCATTTTTAGATGGAAGAATCCAAGAAATTCTCTGCACTAGCTCAACCTGCTACGCATCCAGCTCACCAGTTTAAAAAAAGCTTCAATGCAGCAGCTGAAACCCATGGAATGCCGCATACTGTTCATATGATTCCTACAAGCAAACCAAGTCATGCACCAATTTCCTCAGGTGGTTTCCCCGTTACTCCATCTCTTGTTCATGTATCTACAGCAACTCCCGCACCTACACAGTATCAGTTTCCCAACAATGATGTTAGAGCATCCATGGTGTCTAGTGGTTTTCCTAGCAGCCATCTAGGCAGGGATTCTACTACCCCAACAGGGCTTAGAATTGAAAGAGCACAGTTCAGATCAGATGGAGGACCAAATGCAAATGCATCTTCTTATGCATCTCAAGTACAAGGTAACTAATGTCCTTTAACTTTACTTGTATGAAAAGGTATCCTTTTTATGGAATTTTTTTTTGCGTCATTACTACTGATTCTGTCTCCTCTCTGCATATGTAAGTATTTACACCATATTTTTCCATGTGCAGCAAATTTGTCCTCAAATCATCCACTTCCATCAATGAATGCTCCAGCTTGGTCAGTGCAAACTCAATCTGCCAAAAGTGGACCAGAACACAAGGTGCCAAATCATATATCCGTCAAAGTTGAAGGAAGTACTGGTATGAGTATGCCACAAATGACTCCTGTAGCTGCATGGAATCAGAATACCAAGCCATTTGTCTCCCAATTAGCTTCTGGAAATCTACCCGTTGTACATCAGCCTTTGCAACAGATGGACTTTGTTAAAGCTCATTCACTTTCTAACAATCACAATGACATTGCGAAAATTATTCAGAAATTATTACAACCACAGCCTCCTGATCATCCTACATGGATTCCTCCATCGAGGGATTACATGAGTAAGGCTTTGACTTGCCAGAGTTGCCAGCTTACCATCAATGAGGTAGACAATGTTCTTATTTGCGATGCGTGTGAGAGAGGATATCACTTAATGTGTGCACAGTCATCTAATCAGAGAGGAATTCCTAGAGGTGAGTGGCACTGCATGAGATGCCTGTCATTGAGCAATGGAAAACCTTTGCCTCCCAAGTATGGACGTGTGATGAGAAGTAATATACAAGTAAAAGTCCCTTCTAACATAGCTGGAGTTCAAACATCCTCGGAGAATAAGCTGGGAACTTTAGATCCAAAGGTCAATCAGCCGAAGACAACTGCAAATGGAAGTTCTGTTTTGCAGAATATTGCTGGTATAGGTGGTGGGGCCAGCAATCACGTTGAGTCAGCACCAGATCTAAAGATTTTAAATGCAAAAGAATCTCAAGTACAGAATCTCACATCAAGTAGGAAAAATATGGATGAGAAACCTCTTTCTGGAAGTTACCTGTCAAGTGAAAGATCTGAGGAGAGATGTTCTGAATCAAAATCAGAGCCTCCTGCTGAACCAAAAGAAATTACTAGATCATCTAGAGTTGAAGAAAGACATTCTGAATCAATTGCAGAACCTCCTGCTGAATCAAAAGCAGAGTGCCCTGCTGAATCAAAAGCAGAGCCTCCTACTGAACCAAAAGAAATTACTGAATCATTTAGAGTTGAAGAGAGACCTACTGAATCAAAGGCAGAACCTCCTTCTGAATCAAAAGAGGACCTTCCTGCGGAATCAAAAGCAGAGCCTCTTGGTGAACCAAAAGAAACTACTGAATCATCTAGAGTTGAAGAGAGGCCTTCTGATTCAAAAGCAGAGCCTCCTGTTGAACCAGAAGAAACTACTGAATCATCTAGAGTTGAAGAGATACGTTTTGAATCAAAAGCAGAACCTTCTGCTGATTTTTTCAACAAAGGTGCGGATAAGTCTGATCACTCCCGACCCCCTTCCAACACACAAGTTGCAGACTCTGCTGGGCTGCCCAACTGTTCAGAAGTTCCATCAATGATATTCCATGACCAGAATTCTGCATTGAAAAACCCAGAAACTTCTCACTCGGTAGGAAACTCTGGCTCCTCTTTAAGATATGACATCAAACAGGATGACCAAAGCGGTGCACAAGCAAGTACTGGTGAAAGTTCTGTAGCTAGTGGTCGGGCTCTAGAGCATTTCAGATTTTGTTCAGATGGCTTGAAAGTTGTTGAATGGATTGGCAATATAGTTCAAGGTGGTGATGAAAAAATATATTACCATACTTGTTGCATTGATGGGGTAACATATCAACTGCAAGATCATGCTCTTTTCCAGTCTAGTCATGGAAAATTGATACCCTTGAAGCTTCAGGTAAGTGAATTATTAAGCATCCCTTGATACTTCAGTAGCAGAATCACTTCTTGTTTGTTTTAGAAACATTTTCATCTGTTTATGGTTATATTGAGCTTTTTTCTTTTTATTAGAAGGGTTGTCATGACTTTGTAATTTCATTACAGTCCATGTGGGAGGATAGGAAAACTGGGTCAAAGTGGGCTATTGTCAACAGGTGCTACTTTCCTGGTGACTTACCAGAGAATGTTGGTCGCCCATCTACACCTGAAAGCAATGAGGTAAACGTTTATTCCTGTACGTATACATTCTATGAGATGACCAAAAAGTACTGTTCTATGTATTTATGTCTTTTGTAAGATGTTCATATCAGTTGACAAGTAGAATGGGACTATTGATTTTGTCATATGATGCACATGATTGCAAACACATATGCACCAATATGATATATCTTTCTAAAGGTACTCTACTTTGCATGGTGCAATTTAATTTGACACTCTATGGTGATCTAAAGGCCTCTCTCTCTCCCATTTTTTATTGACATGTACAATATTTACAATATCCGTATGAAAGGTAATATTTTTTCTTTGTTTGTGTTGCAGGTCTATCAATCTAATCATGATAGCACTGTAATGGCTGGTTTGATTCGAGGTCCTTGTGAAGTTCTTTCTCCTGCTAAGTTCAGTGGGGAAACTGAAAGACAGAGCCAGTTAGAACAAGAGGCAAATAATGAATTGCGACCAATCTTCCTTTGCAAGTAAGGCTTTTTAGATCTTATATGGCACAGAAATAAATAAGTGTTTTGTGCCTGTCTTCTAATGGAAGAGTGCAATTCTTTAAGTGTATGGATCATATGGGATACTTACTCGTAGCCTTCTGTGTTTTCTCCACAAATGCCTAGATTCTTTACGCACGCGCGCACACACACACACACACTCACAATGTATGTGTGCACACGTGGCTTCGCTTAATGTGAGTAGCCGTTTTTTATCCTATTATGTGGTAGGATAATTCTATTTGTTACTCTGTTATTTATTTCTTAATATTTTCATCTTATTTTTTTTACTTATTTTATATGCAGATGGATTTATGATGAGTTTAAAGGGGTATTGGAGCCTGTTCCTGAGTAATCCACTTATGCATGTATTTGGTTATTCTTCTTGGTTATGGAAACTCGATCATGCTCTCTTTGATGAGGTATGTGACAACTGTTGTGATACTACAGCATTATATATTATAGCTTTTGTGTTTATTTTGTTGTAATTTGGAGTAGGCTCCTCATAGGACGTATTAAATGGGATGTGATAATGAATAACTTATGTAGTTGAAAAATGACATTGACAATTACCCCATAGAGCGTTCTTTTTCTTCTTCTTCATATTGGAATGGTGCATAGTAGGTTCATAAGACGAATAAACAGCATTATTTGTAACTTGCCTGAGAATTTTGTGTGATTTTCACCCTCCCATATCAACAAATATAAAACATAATAAGTATGTGGTGTGTTAGTTCTTTTATGCTGCTATTGTTGCGTGCCTAGCCTTTTGAGCTTGTGGTGCTTAGGACCTTATAGATGTGCCCTTGTTTCAGAACATCTGTAATTTGGCAAACAATTCATTTTCTTTTCCATGTGATTCTGAATTTGCGACCTCTCGCTTTCCTCAAACTCTTTCAATTATCTGTACTTAGTTATTGTGTCAATATATTACAGGTAGCCTAGTGCAAACGGGGCATGCTTAGCTAATCTGCAAAGGAAGTTTCAACAATCTTGTACTGTATGATATGTAGCTGTAGCCGTAGGTTGTATTGTAGTCGCAATAGCAATTCAAGCTATAATCTTTGAGGCCCAAGCCCCTACGCGGTTCTTCATTCTTGTTATTATGTTATCGTGTTAGTTAGTATTACTAATTAGAAATGAATATTTTCTCCTCTGTTGTCTACTATCCTTTGGATATCATTGACAATCTCTCGTTCTCTGGGACTGCTCTATAAGCAAGGGCAACGTTTTGCACTGCTTTCCCAGAAAGTGCTCTCAAGAAAATGAACCTGTCGGATTCCGAGGGGATTGTCTATTACTCAAGACTTGTTGTATTGCCTTTTCTTATTTATACATCGATGCTTTCCCAGGAAGTGCTTTCAAGAATGTGAAATAGTGGTTGTATTTGGCTGAAGCAAAATTGGCTAATAAAGGCTTCAAAGAGCGTACATGTGAAAAACCCCTACTTTTTGTTCTCATATGGGAAATTTTTCAAAATTTTCTTTCGCTTCTTTATTATATTATGGGGGATACCGTTGTACTTTGGGCATGTAGTCTTTCAAGTTGACATTCTACTACTTGAAGCTACAGATTTTAATTTTTTTTTTTTTAAATTTTACTATTACAAGCAGAAGGGAGAGACTTTGAAACTATTATGAGTTTCGAACTTGGGACTCGTGCGTAGAAATCTAACACTTTATTTACTAGAAGATTGGACTTTATACAGTTGAACCTACGTATTTTCACATCATTGATCTCTTCATCTGCTGAACTACGAAGTGTACTATTTTTCACATGGCACTCGATAAGCCTAATATTTGCTTACATGAAAATAGTTCTTCTTTATAGTCCAATTAGCACTTTCCAGGCCATTTGTCATCAGTATGACACTACGAAAAAATTGGTCAATTGAGCGCCACCTCTAAAAAATAATCTGACATTTAGACAAACTAATCAGCTAATAGTGTACGGATTTATAACTTGAGCGTAAAGTGTCCAGCTAAAAACTCAAAAGGGTTATGCTAGAAAAACCACATTTCACATACCACGTAAATTCACCAATCAACAACTTTTCTCTATTTTTTGGTACCTATCTTCTTTGTTCGAGATTTTCAACAAGACCTTTTCATCAGGGAAAGTGTTTTTTCATTTTTCTAGCTTCTCACACACCCCTTTTATTTAAGAAAAATTAATGAAAATGACTTGAAAAATTTTAGTTTTAATCAAAAACCATGTTATAAGTTTTGTTTAATGATTAGTACAAGACCCATATTAAAGTAATCCAACTAAAAATGGTCTGACTATAATAAATTATGATTTGTTGATTTTACCCCTAACTTTTTTAGGTTGAGTTTCAGATTTTCGTCGTTAATGGAGTTCATCGTTGTTTTGTATACCTTCTTCTTTTTCTTTGAAACAAAAATATAGATCCTCATGCTATTTAATTTATATTTTGTATTATTTCGTTGAAATGTGATCGTTGTTATTATTCATAATGTATTCGAGATACTGTTTTTCAGTTTTTCTTCATCAGTGGAGTTCATCGTTTGTTTCTCCAGAAAATAAATTTGAGATCTGCATGTTACTCAATAATAACGACGGATCACTGTTTCTGGACTGTAAAAATAAACTATTTCTGGATTTTAAGTAACACTGTTTCTGGAATCTAAGTTACTGTTTCTAGAATCTAAATTACTGTTTTTGAAATCTAAGTCACTGTTTCTAGATCCAAATGAAATAGACACACTGTTTCTTAAATGTAAACTAGAAAAGAAATAATGAAATTCATCATATTTGAATTCAAAGCAAAATAAGCATCATGTTTCTTAAATATAATCAACTGATGCATGAAAGAAAAGAAACAATCAAAGTCTAAAACATAGACTGTTTCTAAAATCTAAGTCACTGTTTCTGGATTTTGGTTCTTTTCTTTCGAGATACAATGTTTGTTTGTGCACAGACAAAACAAACACTGTATCTGATTTTTTTTTTTTTTTTTCCCAGAAACAGTGTTATGTTTTGGATTCTCTGGAACTAGTTTTATGTTTTGATTTTTTTTTTTTTTTTTTGGTTTCCAAACACTTTTTTCGTTGGTTTCTACCATTAAACTTTTTTGAGCTTGTTTCGGCGGCTTTCTTCCAATGAATGCTTCATTTTTCAACTTTGATTTGGTAAGCCTATATTACAGTAGTACATTTCCCAGATGAAAGAATGCCTAATACCTATGCGTTTGCATTTTCAGCATTAACCTCTATGTTTAAGTGGTCTTTTTATGTTGGAAAGTTATTCTATCTCATTAACCGTTTCTAGAATAAGAAGCCAAGGAAAAAGAGAAATAAATAAACCGAAGGGAAAGGAATACAAATGATGGCACTATTTCAGAAAGTAATGAAGTCTCAAACGAAGAAAGTCATGGAAGAAAAATCAAAATACACAAGCTTCCCTCACACAACCAAAAAACACATCGTTGGATGCGTATGAAATGCATATCTAATATTTTTCTTCCAACATGCTCATAATTTTGGGTGCACCTTATGTTTTGTCCTGATCTGACAAGAACCTTAGATAAAGACCTAAGTTAAGGTAATGAATCTCAGCTATTTACAGACGCCTGACATGTACGTACATCACCGGGATCGTAGGTCCTTATTGGATCTGATTGGAATAAAATATTAACATTATAAATTGTTTGTGGTGCAGATAAGAGGATGAGAACGATGAAGAGGAAGAGGAGGATAAGGACACAAAAAAGGTAGACAATAGTTTTAGATGAGTTTTTATTAAACTTTGAGCCCTTTTGGTTAAATGACATTTTCGGATGGTTTTTGGTTAAATGTTTGTTGGCCCAAGCCACTTTCATTAAAACTCTCTTTTATTTATTGCAAGTAAATTGGATAAATCGGTGATTAGGATTAAACAAAGGTGTGTAAATTTTTTTTTTTTAAAAAAAAAAGTGAAAATCACTTTCCCTTCACCCTATACATTTGATGATAAGGCTTGAATAGGGATGGGCAAAATACCCATGAGTTTGGGTAACCACAGTCATCCGCCTATTTAAAAGTTCACAGTTACGGTTATAGGTAACCGTTTAGACGAACAAACGGTTATGGGTATAACCGTTTATCCGTGCAATTTAAATGGACGGTTATGGGTATTACCCGCAGTTATAACAGGTATCCATTTACCCATTTAATTTAATATATGTAAAATTTACTATTTTAGCCTAATTTTAATTTACTAGTGAACTAGATTCAAACTCTACTCCTCGTGTTGAAGATTCCTCATTCGGTGATGATATTGATGTGAATGTGGTAAAAACTAATTTTTATTTTTCTTTTTTTCTTTGGAGTTATTAGTGATACTAATTCTATTTATGCAAATTGATGAATGGTGATACTAACTCAATTAATTTGGTACTTAGCTTTTTCTTTTTTTTTTTTTTCCCTGATAACTGAGTGTACAATGTAAACCCATGGTTCTAAAAGATGCTAGACGCTAGTCAGGCGGCGAGCTAGGACCTAGTGCCTAGGCGGCTAGGTGGGTGACTAGGCGAACTAGGCGGATTTAAGTCAATCTATTATATTTTGTGTAAATAAGTGTGTTTATACTTAAAATAGAATGACATATATATTATGAAGTATTGGAACATAATTAAAACATGGGGAACATGCATATAATGTATATTCATTTAAGCATTCAACAAGTCTCTTCCAATTTATTAAAAATATAAAATGCAAAATGAAAGTTATCTATTTTTTGTCTAAGTGAGTCGCAACCTATGCAGATGCCTAGGTTGGTCTAGACGGGTTAGGCGGGTGCCTAGATGGGCGCCTAAGCAGCTCTAGGCTCCCTTTCTTAATTTTCAAACGCCTAGGCATTAATTGGGGGCAGTGGCCAACTGCCTAGCGCCTAGGCGAGGATTTTTAGAACATTGTGTAAACATTCTATGATCACTTACCTCTATTGGATTCATGCTAATTGGTGTTGGTGTTCCTAAATGGGATACTAATTCAATTTATACGTTTCTTTTGTAGTCCTCTTTTGGTGACAACATGTCGATAAGACTTTGTGATTGAATATGCTAAAGCATTAGTGTTCGAAAGAGTTTAGTTTTGGAATATTTTCGAGCTTTGAATCATCTAGTATTCAAGATTATGACTACTTTCTGTTTTTAGAAGCTTTACTTTGTAATCATATGGATTATAATTAAAGATTTGCTTGGCTGTAGCAGAAAAATATCGTTCGTAAACTATTGTTTCAATTATTGGGATTGTATGAGGACTTAAAGATTAAAATAGGGAAATGCATGCTAAAATGTATCTATAACGGTGTTTAATTGTCAGAAAATGAAAATTATGACAAATTTTTCTTTTGTAATTTTCAAGTTGTTAAAAAAAAGACATGTAGACATGTGAAAAAGGGGTAAATGGGTAAAAAAAGGATAAACGGATTCAAAAATGGGTAAATGGGTAAGTGGTTATGGTTAAATGGGTAAACGTTATAGTTAAATGGGTACATAGTTATAGGTATTGTTAACTGTTTATAAACAGTTATGGGTATGGGTATAACCGTTTATGCAATTACCTCACAGGTAAACGGTTATGTAAATATGAATATAAACGATTATAGATAAATAACTACGATTTCCCGCCCGCCATGACGGTTGCCCATCCCCTAGGCTTGAATGAACCCAACGGCAGTAAAGTAAATGGAGGGGGCCGCTCTAAGCACCACGCCTGATTTTCAAAAGACAATGACCATAATGTTACTGGTCTTTGTTTTTTTTTTTTTTTTTTTTTATATTTTTTTTTTTAATTTTTGAGTACACTGATGGTTTTACAATAAGGGGAGGATGAGTTCGGCAAAGCCGCACAATAGACAGCCTAATTTGGTATCGAATTCATCATCTACGAGATTCGAACCTAAGACTTCTAACTTTCAAATGAAGAGGAATATCACCAGATTTTAGTATTGAGTGGTAAAATGTTACTGGCCTTCAACTAAGGGCGTGCAATGTTTCTGGTCATATTCTATATTTCCAAAATGGATAAACTCAATTGAGCCGAATCTTGATAGGGATGGATTTATCCTTGTACGAAGACAACGCGACAAGAGACAATATTCTACATAATTAGATTATAGTAATAATAACTTATCATCTCTCATCGTAGTGCCATATTGCACCTGTTCAAATTAACCGAAGACATGCATAGAAGAGAAAATCTCTTATAATCGGTACACCATATAATATCTATTGAACAAATAGTGTACTGCACTTCTACTTGACCTACAAAGTAAAATAAACCAAGCAATTGAAAGCGAAT